GTACGGTTCTCAACGAATCTTTGTATACCCCGCACTGGGATGTGGTCACGTCGGCTTTCGACGTGAAATTCTCATTCTTGTTTTAACGATACTCCAAAAAGACCAATTCGGTCTTTCATGATACACAGCGAACGGAGTGAGCGGCGTCTTTCAACAGAGACAGGAGTTCGGTTACCCCGGCAGGTATTTATTTTCCCTGCACGGAGGAATGGATAAAAAAGGTCCGGTCCAATAGAGGCACAACTCTGCACTGAGATACCCTTTGATTTTGAGGCTTCAGTGGGGAACGCTTCACGCCTTCAGGGGCGAAGATGAAAGAGATATTCAACATCTCTTCCCAACCTCGCATCGAGCTACATTTGCGACATCTATGGCCCCAGCGGAGGTGGAAGGGCAGGATCGAAGCACATGAGTCGCTCGGGAAGTCATTTCGGATGCTTCTGATCAGTATAGTTATCGTAATGATAGATCTCAGACTGGTAGCACCATATTAATTAATTCACTTCCCGATGATGGGGATGTGTTGGCTCAAAGATCAGTTCTCTTCAGTGCCTTTGTCTCTTTTCTGCCTTGACTATGCATTTCAGTCTATCCACCTATTCTCTCGTCCTCCCTCGATCTCTATTGCATGTTTCCCTATGAGCAAATGGGCTACTCATCCAACTTACACAGTGTGAGGGCACGACATCGTCAGCACAGCGCCATTCAAAAGACGGCCGAGACTTGAACCACCACATCGTCCCTTTGGTGAACGCAACCGACGCACGTCATACAAACACGCGCACACTCGAACCGACCTATGCCTGAACATACTTTCTTTTGGTGCCAAAGCGATGCCAAACCATGCAGCAAGAATGGCTTGTGGCGGTGTACATATCACTTGTATTAAACTGCTAATGTAGCATCACACTCAAATAATTACGACCTCCAAGGACCTGGCCCGCTCCCTCAGCCCCTCGACCATGGACTAGTCACTGACCCAGCTGCGGGAAAAAAGCAAAAACTACGGCACAGGTCATGGCATTTTGTAACATCGGCTACAGTACACAATAGAATCTCCGATGTGAATAGGTTCGATACGGTAGGTAGATGGACTTGTCTCAGTTGAATTATTCGTAAGCGATCCGCACTCGCGCCCAAGCGTCTTTCTAGGCTGCACTTGCCGCCCTTGGCGTGAATATTCTGGGATGCCCAACTGTTTGCAAGCTCCCAGATGGTCAATTCACTGGTGGCCGGCGGAACATGCCGTGCTGGGGAGGGCGACAATGTGGGAGGCTGCAGCCCCCTGTGTTTCACCTATTACGCACAATATGATCTAGAAGACAATTGAGTTGGGAGACTGTGTTGGTTCCCACCAGTATGACGCTTCTACTGTGACTTCTTATTGCAAAAGGTCATTACGAATATGTTTCACGCAGATATCTGAAATATCATCTGGTTGGCAGTCCGCAGCAGGGACCGCACTTAGGTATGCGGGCGGGAGCATATTTGGTAGGCCACGCGCACAAGCCCAGACACAATAGTGAGGCCAGTCTCGCCAGAGCTGAACTACGCAGAACACCCCGGTCTCGAGGGCCACAGTGGGTGGCCGACTGAGACGGATGTGGGAGGGGTTCGAGCTACCTCAGCTGGTTGGCTGCCTTAGAACGGACTCGGGAATACGTCAAGGAGATTGATATAAACGACGTGGCGTTTTGTCCTGACCTGAGAGAGGTGACGCATCCGAGACCATGAGGTCGTCTTTTCCTTTTTTCCCCTCCCTCATCCTTCTCTTCCCATTCGCTCGGCGCCTAGCGTCAAAGCTCGTGGCCGATGAAGTCGTTGGTGGCTACTTTTCCCAGAGCATTGGGAAAGCTGGGCGGGCGGACCGTCCTGTCTACCACTACCTTGGGATCACGATCCCGAGCGACTGGTCCCGCGGACTGGCCTCTCCTGCTAGGGTGCGAAGATCCGACCATGGGTCAACCCAGCCCAGAGAGGGATTTGGCGAGAAACTATGGCGACACCGAGCAGGATGGGCGCCCAACGGAGGGCCAAGGATGGGGCTAGGCGCAGCCTTGGCCGTGATTGATTTGCCGTAAATAAGAACAATAGGTTATTAGCCCCTCCCCATAATATCGGTTCCGGGCTTTTGTATGCACTTTGGCCCCCCCTCCTCCCATGATTGTGATGGGGGAGGGGTTTAATTTAGTGTCTGGTGCCGCAGCCTCGACCACGCCCCTCCATTCCAGTCCACGCAAACCTCTCGAAATTCTCGTTTTTTCCTGCGTCTAGCCTGCAAGGGTGTCTCAACCCGAGGGGTTCAGGTTCAAGATGCTTGGCGGGTGCGAAAGAAGCCTCGCTCTGGCGTCTTTGGACGTTTTGGTCCGTTGAGGAATTCGGCTAGAGGCTAACCGCCCCTCGTCCGCATACCTCGCCTGGAAAAAGTCCAAAGTCAAAATGTGACATACGACGAGCGGCTGCGAGCTCCGGAGCTTGCTATTGGAGAGTGTTTCGGATAGGTGAGTTGACCGGTCGGATCGTGTGCACTGGAACCTGATGATTGGTCTACGTGAAACACTGCATTATGCATTGGACAATCTCGAGGTTGCGCCCATTCATGCTCTTTGCCTATGTCATTTCATTTCCCCTCTTTGCATGCCCTTATCATGTGCATATTTGCCTTTGTGTTTGCATGATAGATTGTTAAAGATTTCGATGTAACGTGGAATGAGTAATACAATGAACTCGGATGCTGGATGTTACCATCCCGACAACCGCGCGGAGGTGCCGGCCGGCAGCGCATGAATCAATGAATAGAAATGCGGTCAGGCGAAATGACGGGGGTTGAAAACAAAAGAATAGGATGGGCATCTCAATGGCGACTCATCGTTGCAGAAGTGTAACCACCCAAAGAGACGTTCGTCTTCAGCTGATTGGGGACCTTCAGGGATCCGTGAGTGGAACCCAGTGGAGTGGAGACCCGGGAGACGGCCGCTAAGCCCTACTTGGTGATGAATAGAGTCGGACCCACCACACTTGCAGAGAACAATAGGAACGGCTGCGGTTGACAATAGCTTCCATCTTCCGCAGTCTCCACCAGCTGTAGCAGCCACCTGGGTCACCGGCATGGAGTTTCGTGGGCCAGCGGAGAGGAGGAAAGAGAGAAGGGGGGTCATTGCGATGCTGCGTGAGGCCTCCTGCCCATTTCCACCTGCATTGCTCCTTCAGCAGGTGCGAACGAAGGACAATTTTGAGGGCATACAGCAAGTGCCAGGCAGTTGAGGCAGGTTGGTCCCGGCCACGGACCTGCCCACATGTGCCTGAGCTGGGATGGGTTCGGGTACCCAGGAAACCGGAGAGCTGCTAGGGGAGAGCCCCAACTACCAGCGGGGGCCAGAGGCAGAAGCTGGACAAAGCTCATTGCCGCGCCCACCCTCATCCGATGCGGTACATTAGTTTCGCATGCGATCTTGGCGCTATTGACGGCGGCCTGCATTGGGTAAGATGAGCCTTCTTCGCCCGACGTCGTGCATGAGAAGAACCGACGTCGAAGAACAAGCTTGGGCACAATCCACTTGGTTGGGGCTGGGTCCCATGCAGGCCTGGCCTTGGCCTGTCTCACCCGTCGATCAACAATACTACGCCTTTGCTGCGAATCCTTGGCCTGGAGCTTCATTGATCCCATTATACACATTGAGGGTGGGGACACTTTTTCTCACCTGCCATTTACCAGCCCGCACCTCTCAGGTCGCCATGGTGTTTTGAGAGACAGGGAGGGGGTGTGTGTTTCCTCCATTGATGCCGTTCCCTCATTCCAAAGCCACCTGGTGACGCTTGGCTTCGGGTTTCTACGTGCCTGGACCACTGAGCGGGCAACCTTAAACGCTGCCAGCAACAAGCTTTTCCGTCTGTGTGCACGGTCCTGCGCGGAAGCGAGAAAATTTCTCACATCTCGAGTGAGACCATGAGACAACGTTTCCAACGTGACGATGATGTGTCTTATGGGATGGTGTGATGGTTGATTCAACGGCGCCAGAGGTATTGGCGACCCCTGTCCAGCCGGTCTCCCCATTCAAGCATGTCTGCGTTCACTCCCCCCGGATCTCTCTATAGGCGATCTCACCTGCATGAGTAATGGGCCCATACTTTGCAGAATAGACTCGAAGCTGGTGTATTGTCATGGCGTATGCCCACTGATTCACTTCCCCTTTTGCACGGTGATACATTCGCCTCATCATTGCCTGTCTCTCTATGCATCCGGAGGGGGGTCAGGGTGATGGAAATGCATATATACCCATGGGTTTCCCTCTCTATACACATTCCTTTTCTCACCTCTCCTCCATCCTCAACATCCTACACTCTCATTGAGATTGCTTGAGCTTAAATCCCTTCTTCGCCTTGCTTCGATTCAGAGTTGCATTGATCAATAGATCACTCTTCCGTACCATTCCTCCTGTGAACCTACCTTCCAGGAGTTCCTAATCGAATCCAGTTCAGCTTTTCCTAAATCGGGCAGAGCCCCAACACGCGCTCTCGTGCCACATACCCTCCATCCAACCCGCGTGGTTCGAGAGATTGGTGGCGTAAAGCTTTTCTGATAGCGCCAGCGGTCACACTAATTCTCTTACCCGCTTGTCAACCCACCCTGTCGGCAACGGTATCATCATCAACCAACGACATTGATCTGGCTTGTTTCTCTCGTGCCTGTCTCGTACAGAGCCTTCAAGAAACAGACTTTCCACCGGCGACTAGTCTCGGACATTCTCAACTTCCCGACCTCACATATCTCAACTTCCCCTACTCACATATAAAAGACCATCTGGCAGACACGCTTCACCAACACCTTTTGCAACCACTATCCTCATCATTTCCCTCCATCGCCTAAGCCCAGGTCGTCTCTAAGACCAAATTTCTTACTTTCTTCGGGCCCATCAGGTTGACTTGTTCTTTCTTCTTCTTCTTCATTCATTCACCTATTCCAACTATTCTCACCTGATTATCCCTCCTCATCACACAACATGTCTCACCCAGGGCGGCCAAACACGGAGCACGAGCTTCCCAAGGATGCTCCCGCTCCGACGATTGCCCCTCCTCCCTACTCACCAAGGCAGGGAAGAAATCGGGCGGCATTGACAGCCAGAGGCGTTCAGCTTAACCAGTTTGCTCAACGCCTGGCTCTGGAGCCCTCTACAGCAGGCCTATCACGCGCCATTTCAGCCCAACTCATGAATGAAAATGAGACCATTGATGATGATGATGAGCCCTGCGCACCACTTTCCCTGCGGATCAACACCTCAATCACCATCAACAAGAGCAATAATATTATCTGCTTGTCGGAGACCCCATCCAGCCACGCCAATGCCATCGCTGAAGCCATGACCCAGGCGATCAAAAAGTACAGTGCAGGCAATTGTGGAATTCCCATGATTGATGGCAACGGAAACCCGAGACCCATTCGGCTCGAGGTTGACGCGGGTACCGTTGTTGAAGGCGAAGGCAACGTCATCGGAAGCGAGGACGTTATTCTTAAAGTTTTACGCCAGCGTGATGAGCAGCATGAACAAAAAAAGGTGTGCCTGAGGCGACCCCGAGCCGAGGACGAAGAGGGCGAGTCCTCAAGTGACGCCAAGCGTAGACGATCTGAGTAATCCGATATCTATGCTATGAAATGCCGCTTCACCTCAGGTCCCACCGGCAGTCGTGGCCTTTCCTATATCTTTTCCTTTTTACCTTTCTATTTTCTTTTTTTTTTTTCCGTTGTTTTCTTTAATGAACAAATGAGTCTCGATGCCACCTTGAAAGTGTTGGTGTCTTCTCGGGATGTAATCGACGGGGGGCCAGTATTTCGATCCCTTCTCCCCCGTTTGGATAGGACCAGAGAGAGTTGGCCTATCGTTTGGAATGAGGATATCACAGAAATAATCTGTCTCTACTTTACCAGTTTATGAAAGTCGTTCATTTGTGCTCCAAACGCAAGTACTTTCAGCAGATCCATATACGACTAGATGAAAACTAAAAAATATAATTTATCTACAATTGCATGGCCATCGTGTGTTTGCCACTCCATCAAGGAGTTGTTTCTCCGAAGAATACTCTCTTGACGGCCCCTCTAACCACCCAAAGAATGCATTGGGTGTTTAAAACAAGCTGTCTAGTGATTCCGCGTTTATAAATTAGCTTGGGATAATCTCCACGGCCGCGTGCTTAGCCCTACACTAACAGGTGCTTTCCTCTCCTCATTCCCACCTCATTCCCTAGGCAAACCCAATTTCTATGGCACACACCATCAATGATGGAGACTAGGCTCCCATCTGGCGAATGTATGTACTTGGTCGACTCCAATCCTCTTCATGAATGGATCAAGCGATTGTTAGTGCCGCACTCTATTGAGAAGTGTTGGCCAGTGGATGAAATATGCATGGCCCCAATTATGCTAGATATTAACCGGCTAGGCTGGTTCATGTAATCCTCGCCAATCGCATGTTTGAAGATCATGCAGGAACCATGGCATTGCTAATACAGTTTACCGTTTTCAGATGGTTAAACCAATTGAAGATAACTCCCTAAAAGGACCATTTTGTAGTCATCGAAATTGAACTACTTGCGTTCATACCCCTCATCCAAAACAGGCTGGCTGAAGAGGGAGGCAGCCAAGTAGGGTTGCACTTAATGGGGCGAGGGATGGGATGATGGGCATTCCTTATGGGTCTATTGAAGACACCATGGAGGGAGGCCCATTGGCTGTCCCCTGGCATGGGAACCTCACTGTCGAATGATCGGCTCAAGCTCCCCTTCCCACTCATGCCTCTCTAGCAAGCTGATGAGCTTCAATTCGATCAATGGACGCGGGGCAATATGCTTATCTTATCGCTTAGCACTCCTCTGACAGCCCACTGTGTAGATCCTCCTATCCCAGCTCAGCTTGCAAGACCTCCATTACGGCACAGGGTCGTGACCGCCGAGTTGAAGCAAATATTACGTGCTATCACATTGCTCTGCCACATCCAGTGTTCAGATGTGCTGCAGGCTGACTTGATCGGATCCTCCACCGCCTCCCCCTTGCCGAGTCCTCCCTCCCAGAGCTGGCAGACTGCCCTCAGACAGGCTCAATGGGACGGCACAGTCTCCACCCCTCGTTCCTGAACTGTAACAGGTCTCTCCACTTTCAGCTCTGCCAGCCCAAAGGACCCTTTGCCCCTCCTTCCAGCCGCGTGTCCCGCAGAGGCGCGGACAGTGGTCAGGCTTGGCCTCAAGACAGCATTTTGCTAGTTTTGCGAGCAGCCTAGCTCTGGATTGTATATAGATAGCTTCTCATCACACCCCCTCCCCCTCTATCGCCTCTCTCCCACCCTAATCCCCGACACACCCGCCGCATTCTTGTGTAGACAGCTCTCCTCTAGCTCGACCTCTCAAGCTCAGCCTTGCCGCCGCCCCTCTTCCAATCCGTAGCCATGGCCAACCTCACCATTCGCAACCTCACCATTCACCCAATTGAGCTCGTCAGCATAGAGAGGTTCGAGTCCAAAAAGGAGGGTACAGGTGACGTCGTCAGCAACGCTGTCGGCCACATCTCCGGCTTCTTCAACGCCACCAAGCACCAGTCCAGCAAACTTGTCACGGGCGATTCCCGGGAACAGCACGATGTCAGCTTCCATGCCGAGCCATTCCGCACTCAGGAGACTGATATCCGCACCGCGGACGGTGATCGCGAGATCCTCCGCCTGATCTTCAGGTGGCAGGACAAGCGCCATGAGGTCGATATCCCCAGCCCCGACCAGCGCTCCAGCACGATGAAGAGGATCGACCCTGAGACGCACGAAGAGCTCACCGCCGTCTACGTTGCCAACGGCGCCCTCGTGGCCATCTACTCCTCCTCCAGCCTCAACTCCTGGATGGACAAGCTCCACAATGACTGGCCTCTGGGCAGTCTTTCCATCCCAGGCACGCACAACTCCCCAACCTGCCACAAGGCCCTGCCCTCTGTCCGCTGCCAGGCCGTCAGCGTCCGAGAGCAGCTCGACAACGGTGTGCGCTTCCTCGATATCCGCGTCTCCGCAGACCCCGAGGATCCCACCCTCAGCCTCGTCCACAGCGCCTTCCCCGTCTCCCTGACGGGCACCAAGTACTTTGGCGACATGCTCGACGACATCTACGAATTCCTCGACCAGAACGGCTCCGAGACCGTCATCATGAGCGTCAAGCGCGAGGGCAACGGCAAGGCCAACGACGAGCAGATGAGCAAGCACCTCAAGGGCAACTACATCGACAAGAAGCCCGAGCGCTGGGCCACCGAGCCCCGCGTCCCCCGCCTCGGCGAGGTGCGCGGCCGCATCCTCCTCGTCCGCCGCTTCAACCTGGACGAGGAGCTCAAGCACGAATGGGACGGCCGCGGCTTCGGCATCGACGCCGCGGGGTGGCCCGACAACTGCGAGGACGGCCATATCGGCGACGGCTTCATCCGCGTGCAGGACTTCTACGAGGTGTCGGAGACGGAGAACGTCGAGAAGAAGATCGACTTCTCCCGCGGCCAGCTCGAGCGCGCCGCCGAGCAGCAATACCCGCTGGGCGACGAGGGCGCCGGCCTTCCGGCCATCTTCGTCAACTTCCTGAGCGCCAGCAATTTCTTCAACGCCAGCTGCTGGCCCGAGCGGATCGCCGCCAAGGTGAACCCGGCGATTGTCGAGTACCTCTGCATCAGGCACGGCGAGGAGGGCAAGGGCCCGAAGCAGCTGCCCGTCGGTGCTGCCGGCACGGGCGTCGTCGTGACCGACTGGGTTGGTGCCAATGGAGACTGGGACTTGATTCGCTGCATTGTCGGTATGAACGCCAAGTTGCAGCACAGTCAATAGACCAGGTGACACAAGGCAAAAGAAATGGAAGGAGCTTGGACTTTTGAATTGGATATGATTTATATGACGGGACAGCGTGACATGCACTCAGATACACCAAATGAAAATAAGATAATAAAAAATAAATATATTTTATATATCCCAAGATACGCCTTATTTATGGCGATTGGGAAATAAAAGAATATTCCAACTACTAGCGGCTGACATTGCCTATTGACCAACAAGACTGTACTGGAAGCAAGCTAGGTAGTTTGCCGTGCCATTAAATCAAGCGAAGAACTATCATCAAGACGCCGTCTCTGTAACCCCCGTAGCCGGTGCTGTCCTTAGTTGCGAGGTTGATTCTGATGAAGCTTGTGTTAGCTTCTGCTTTCCATGTTTGAATATCGACACTGTGCATGAGTGCAGTGGAAACGAGATCAGTTCTCCAAGGTGAATAATTTGTTCATCAAGATGAACTCAGTAAGGTTGATAGATATATAGGTAGGAATCATCATATGACATGGCCGAGACGGCATGTGTGAAAAGTGTAAGGTAGGAGGAAAAAAAGAGATGATTAGCTTACCCTCATTACAAGATGGCACAGTTCTCATGTCAGTAGTTCCTACCTGACATCGACGTTAGCAATGCATTCAGCCAGCGCAGATATGTCATTAGGTGATTAAACAATGCTCGTGACTAAATACCAAAGTTAGCTTCTTAAAAACCGACGACAGGACGACTAGTTCGGGGACGTACCGTAATATCAGAAGGTGTTAAATTTGTTCATTTCCCACAATACAAGATTGCGAGTCAAACAGTGTGAATACAATTTTGGACATCTCATCACAGTACGCAGCGAGCATGTTATTGAGCAGGAATGATGGCATCAATTATTTACCTAAATGTTGATGTGTTAGTTACCATGTACATAACAATCGACGTCCAAGTCATCCTTTGAGAATGAGGTGCAACACAGTCAGGTGACGAAATGTCATCAAGAGATCTCTCCCCCTTCCACCACAAGGTTTGTACGCCTTGCTGTCTTAAGGATGGTCGAGGTTGAGGCTCGATATGTCCGCCCGTTCGTTCAAACTTTCATCATGATATGTGGAGGGGTTGGTAGTGGAACCGAGTGTGTGTTTACCTGTGACAAGTGCATGTTAGCATGACAATGAACACAAAATATCTTCCAGAAGAGAAAAAATGATGAAGCCCAAATTTGGTCAGACAAGGCTGAAACTAGTTACAACGTAATCCACATGATATATTAAGTATGAGGAATCCCTAAGGTGTCGTTTTGATCATCACATAAAGGGCATTGGGTGCGCGAGAGAAAATTTGAGAGACAACAAACCTTTTGAAAATTTTACACGCGGTAGAAGCAGTGGTATAGCAAATCTAGAAGCTGATGGCTCTGTTAGCGATTTTGTTCCCAAGTGCTTCCAGAAGCGTAACAATTGTCAAGATATCAAATCAGTGTAATTCTAGAGATAATGGGTCCCCATAGAAAGGTCGGCATTGGATTGTTCGTGAAAGATATTCATCACAGAGAATTGAGAATGAAGGGAGCGGGTGAGGAGCTTACCAAAGAAAATCTAACCAGAGGGGAGAGCGCGACAATTCCATCGCGTCCAGCTCTCCCTCTGGTAGGTGTTGATATGGGAGGATGGAAGAGTGAAGGAAAAGATTTGAAAATTTCCTTCGGCAAATAAATAGGTACAAGGACGCTAGTCTGAGAGTGGATGCATGCTCCGCTCATCTAGATGTGTGGCTGTGCTTCTCCACAAGATGATGTGGCGATTCTTATCATCCCCACT